CCACACACCCCCCCGCCGCCTCCCTCTCATATTTCCTCGCGGAGGAGGCAGGGGCGCCTCTGCCCGAGGCCGCGCGGTTGCCTGTAGCCTTCGGGGGGAGCTGAAGCCTCTGGCGCTTGTTCCCTCCTTTCTGCAGGTCACCAGTGAGAAGCTCTGCAGGGCCCAGCAGGAGCTGCACTTCCAGGCAGCCACGTACCTCTGCTTGCTCCGCAGTGTCCGGGAGCACTTGGCCCTTCACCAGGAGTACCACGGCAAAGGGGAGCGCTCGCCTGAGGAGGTTGCTGGCTTGGTGGGCTTCAGGCTGCCGCAGCAGCCGGGAGGAAAGGGTTGGGATTCGTAGGAATGCAAATGCTTGCCAAGACCGCTTTACAAGGACTTGAGAATGGTTGTGTTGTATGTACTATTTATCTCTGAATAAATATCCTTGATTATAGAAACTGTCTAGGTTTTCTAGCTTATATTTTCTCTCAGTTTTAGGTGGTAGGTGTGATTCAAAAGATTGGTAACTGGAAATCCCTCTATGTTTATCAAGCATGCTCAACTCGCCCATTAGTTCTGAATATCTGGTGTGACAGGCAACCTGTAGGATATGAGAGGTTATTTGTAGGGGGAAAGCATGACCACGCTGCCTTTGCTAAACTATTCTGTCTAAACAGTTGTTTTCTAAATATGAAGGTAAGAGGATTTTTCTGTCACATTCTGTGTGTAGCAGATTTTTCATTTTCCCAAGAGCAAAGACGCTTTCCCTGAAGATGTTAACAGAGACCTCTTTAACCTTGAAGATTTTTGGCCGCAGTAGTGAGCTAGTGATAATAGTTCAGAGGAGAATACTGCTTCATGAGTTACAAGTTTCTGAGGGCTTGGGAATGGTTCACCCTAAGACAGTAGGATTCCTATACTGGTTCTAATACATTGTGTGTCTTGGAAACACTTCATTAAGCAGTGAACTGACTACTTGTGAATGCAAATTTAAAAGTTTTATGGTTCTGCAGACTGAAAATCCTTTTGATGTTTTTGCAGAGTCCCACCAGGTGAACAGCAGTGGTGTTACTTTGGAAAACTGGTGATGTCACAAGTGGGGAAAATAACAACCTATTTGTAGCTCAGTGGATCAAAGTTACTGGGAGCCAGCATACCCGGAGAATTTATGTAATATCTTTGCTGTTGTGAGATGCTTTATTTAAAGCAGCTGCTATGTTCTGCCTTTCATTTTCCAGATGGCCCATCTAAAGTATGTTGTATATTGCTCTGTATATGTTGTATATTGCTCTAGACGAAAAATGGATGGCTCACTGAAACCTTATGGATGAAAAGCTGAAATTTGGCTACAGATAGCTGAAATGGGGCTATCTCTGCTCCTTAAAGAGTACCTAGAGCTAAAGGTTTTATGGTTTGGGTACAAATGAGGACTAAGCTTTCTCCATTTCCCCTGAACATACTAAGGTATTAATGGAAATAAATTTAACCAGTATCTTTTTGGATCACTTCCCCTACAATCCAAAACAATATAATGACTAGCAAACCTTATTTATATGTTAAAGGGAAAAAAAAAATAGGGCATGTTCTGAATGGTTGAGGAGCACTGAGGAGGGTGTTCTGTTAATTAACACAAACGTCCCTGGTTGTGGACAATCGAACCTGATTCTTACTTGTGCCGGTCATTGACTGCTTTTGGGCACTAGATGGCAACACGATGGTTAAGACGGCTGCAAAATGCATGAGTTAAGATGAGCAGAAGTTGTGGAATTATTTTGTTTCATAGTGGGTCTGGGTGCTCTGGAAAAGTAATTGGATCTGATACATAACAGTTGCTTCTGTTTTAAGGGAGGTTCTCTAAAAACTTGCTGTTATAGTAGCATTTCTCACTTATGAAACCATAATTGCACTTGACAGCTTGTGAGAAGAACAGAACCTTTAAAATGGTGCTGAATGTCAATCTAATGAGAGAAATAATCTTAAAAAAGCATCTTCTGTCTATGGTTGCTCGGACATACATATGCATTCACACCTACTCCTACCTAGCCAAGGTGTGTGTACGCACCCATGCATTTAGTAACTTGCTAACATCCCAGCAGCCATTACAGAAAATGTTTCTTTGCTGGAGGTGACTAAGCAGGGACAGGACATTTGGTATAGAGGTAGCTTATTACACAGTCCAGGTTTTCTTCCTGTTTTGCACTTTCAATTAGGTCAAGTTTCTTCGCCTCTCACATGAAAGAAGGGCTAAAAGTTTTCATTTCTGGTAGTGAAGATCCCTTGACAAAAGGGTCCTATGTAAACTAATGACTACATCTGTCGTGCTCTGTTTCTCGTTTCCTTCATCACAGGCTGCTATGGTTACCCTCTCTTTGTTGTCACCCTTTAGATGTCATTCCTCTTAGTGGCAGTTTGTACAATTGAGAAATATTTCTCCCTGCCCCTTCTACCTTTGGAGACCAGGAAAGCAGCTAAAAAAATATTTATTTCAGCTATGCCACGTGCTTTTTAAAAGCACGTTGGCGTTAACTCTAATGAAACTGTTCCGGTTCGGCTCTTCTCTCGGAGGGGCAAAAACCGGACGACAAGAGAGCGAGCAGGATCCCTCGCCGGGACGGGCGGGCCGTGTCTGCGGGGCCCCTTGGTGCTCCGCGGCGG